AAAGTGGAGCTTGAAGTGTTCGTGTAAGGCTGGAATGGGAAAATGCAAGCATGTAATGGCAGTTTTAAACCATTTACTTATGTAAGAACTCAAATTGTTAAAATACATTTTGACGTAGGACTAAGTCTTTGATTTCTATATGGGGGTACACTTTGTGAAAACCGAAAATGAAACATGTAACAAATTAAGAAAGATTTTTTACGTTAATAACTCAGCTGGCTCTGGTCCAATTTAAATAATTTTATCACCAATCGATCAGAAATATGGCTACGCATCGATAACAATGCATCCGAATGTTGATTTTCAACAAGAAACTATTGAAAAACTGGTAAATGTCCGGCATTGTTCAAAAGCGTTGAATTAACTAACATATCCACCAATTACCTACATGCATATACTGCTTCCCCAGCACAGTCGTCAGAGAGTAGTAAGTAGACGAAACAAGTCGAAGTGGCATTCGCCTCCGATCCTCGGGCGCGTGCGAATAGGGAGGATGGAATTGCGTAATATTTTGCACACTCATCGCCATATTCAGAACCAAACGCAAATTCTTCGAGATAACCACCATCCGTCTTCTGGCTCGCCGTGGCGGTGTCTGACGTATCTCCGGTCTGATTTACGAGGTGTGCTGAAGGTGTTCCTGAAAAATGAGATCCGTGATGCTGTCACCTACATTAAAAACGCCAAGCGTAGGCGGCCATGGATGTCATCTACATTTTGAAGTGACAGAGATACACTCTGTTAGGTTTCGGAGGTTAAATCATCACCAACCTTGGCAACAAAACGGCTCTTTTCAGGGCCACCAAGCTTATTACAGTAAAGAGTAGGAATAGAATTCATCTGTCTGTTTGTCCATATTCAGAGCCACACGCCCCACCAACCAGACAAAATGCTCATGTAACCAAACTTGGAAGCAGGGAAACAAATGATTTTGATATGTTATCTTCATCAACATTCTCTTTGAATCGCCACGGCCGGATATTTTCGATGGAAGAAGCAAAAATCAAGCTTGTTATTCGACGAAGACGGCAGCAAACATTTTTGAAGCAAAGTTATTTACGAAAGAGTGACAGCCGATGAAGAGAATCGATCAATGTAGATAGAACCTATTGAAAAGTGACGCGAGATTTGTTTTCCGTGCTGAGCACCAATGCTACCGACGCCAGGGAGGCAGCTCCCACACCTGGACCCTACCAATCGATCCATCAACTCAACCGGGGACCAACAGCTTTACTTCCCGAAGGAAGGCGTGATCAGAGATGTTATGCCTTAGAACATGCCGGTGGCGCCGACTGAGATTGGACCCAGGCCTGCTGGGGTGAGAGGTAATCACGCTAACCACCGGCGCCGATATCTTTCAAAGTGATATCACGGCGAATTAGAACGACCCAAATTTGAGTTTAGTCAACTCATAAATCACATAAAGTGCAGGAACTCAGCGATGAGTAAATTTGCCTCATGTTTTCCCAGATTTTTCCAGGATTTTCCAGGGAAAAATTCCTGAATTTCAGAAAAGTAAAGATTGGATTCACTCAGTCTATTGGTACTACTCCGAGACTGAATAAAATTTTCGTCAATTTCCTCATTTTCTGGCAGATTTTTTAGGTTTTCCACAGGAAACCATGAGTCAAATTTACTCATCGCTAAGTTCCTGCACTTTTGGCGATTATGAGTGAACTAAACTCAAATTTGGGTCGTTCTCATTCGCCGTGTACGCAAAAGGAAAAGAGCCAGTGTCGCTACTTGATAGCAAACTACTCATAATGGGAGGAGTCTGTGTAGCTTTTATACCACATGGTTGCACATCATTCTGCTTTAACCTGAAAAGATATAAAAGAGCCCTGCTGAGATCTGGGCAAAAAACGTGAAATGGCCGATCTGAACAGGCAGATTGCTTCCAGAATGGACTCACTCCGAAATGAAAGTTTCGGGCGTGTTGTCCAGAATCTGAACGACCGCTCCAGACCATTCTGGAAGGTAGCCAAGGTCCTGAAAAATCATCCCAAACCCGTTCCACCTCTCAAAGTCGAAAATGATGACGATCGGCTTTTAATTACCCCACAGGAGAAAGCAAATGCGATCGGCAAGCATGTCGCTTCATCGCATTTGCTTGGCTCGACTATCCAAAGTCCGCTCGAAGATCAGGTTGCGCAATGCGTTCAAAACCTAGATGCCTACCCTTGTGTCGTGCCTCCGGCGGATATGATTACAGTACAACAAATTTGCTCAGCGCTGAAATGCACCAAGAACATGAAGGCTCCCGGGTTTGACGGTATATTCAACTTGATCTTGAAGAGACTCAGCATGAAAGTGCAGTCTCTTCTAACCGCTATCTTCAACAGATGCTTGGAGCTACAGTACTTTCCAAGCATCTGGAAAGTAGCAAAATCATACCAATCCGCAAGCCCGGTAAGGATTCAACATTGCCTTCAAGCTACAGACCAATCAGCCTCCTTTCAGCGCTGAGCAAATTGTTCGAGAAACTCAACTCAACCGTTTGCTCAAGTTTGTCGAGGAAAATAACATTCTCCTTCCGGAACAGTTTGGGTTCAGAAAGGGGCACTCCACCAATCACCAGCTAGTGCGGGTGATGAATAACATCCGAAGTAACAAAGCTGTATCCAAGTTCACAGCCATGGCCTTGTTAGACGTTGAGAAAGCGTTTGATAATGTCTGGCACAATGGGCTTGTATACAAGCTTTGTAACTTCAACTTTCCATTACATCTGGTTAAAATCACCCGTAACTACCTCCAGCAAAGGTCGTTTAAGGTATCCCAGCAGGAGTCCCGCAAGGCAGTCTACTGGGCCCCTTGCTTTGCAGCATTTACACTTTCGACATTCCTCCCCTTGGAGACGGTTGCGTGTTTTTCCTGTTCGCAGATGATACCGCAATAGCCGTCAAAGGAAGGATGCCTCGCGAAATAACGAACAAACTTCAACGATGCCTTAACGCCTTTGCTGATTATGCCACCACGTGGAAAATCAAAATCAATGCCTCCAAAACACAAGCGATCATGTTCCTCCATCGGCAATCGCCCAAACTGAAACCGGCTCCATCTTGTACTGTAATCATGGATAGCACAAGGGTTGAGTGGTCTGCCGAAGTAACCTATCTCGGGATGTTGTTCGATGAAAAGCTTCTCTTCCGTTAGCATGTAGAGAAAACTGTAGTCAAGTGTTCTGCCTTGGTTAGGTGTCTGTATCCACTGATTTGCCGCAGATCCCGCCTCTCAAGGGTGAACATACTGGCCGTCTACAACAAATCATAGCACCTGCGATCCTCTACGCAGCTCCGGTGTGGGAATCATGTGCACAGACTCACAGGAACAAGAATAACAAATTTACATGAAGAGGCAGGCATTGCCAAAATAGATTCCAAAATTAACGAAATTAAGACTAAATTTGCACAAAAATGTAATTTATCAGAACATGCTTTGATAAGCAATTTGTATATAGTAGGTTAGGTGTATATAGAAGCTATAGTTTAGTTGCAGTTGTTAATAGTAGTTATAAGTAGTCTCCTTTTTCATATTTAAAACAAACCAATCCCACCAAGGTGGTCATTCTTAAAACAGGCCTGATAGGACTAGGAACTGTAATTAATAATTATTGAAATTTCAAAATAACTAAAGTTGAAAAGACGCATCTGTGTCACTAGAAAAGTAATACAACCACACAAATACAAGAAATAAAGATCATTTAAAGTCAAAAGTAAAAAAAAATAGCATTAGCTCATTTTCGCTTCGGACGGCGTGGTGAGCAGCAGTAGGAAGGTGGTGGCTAGTCCACTCCTTTACACCCAACAAGCAACAATTGACTGGTCGTGGCAAAGGAGGAAAAGGTCTGGTAAAGGAGGTGCCAAGCGTCATCGCAAAATTCTTCAAGATAACCACCATCCGTCGTCTGGCTTGCCGTGGTGGTGTCAAACGTATCTCCGTGGTCCGTGGTGCTGTCACCTACACTAAACACGCCAATCGTAAATGGCCATGGATGTCCTCTACAATAAAACGGCTCTTTTCAGGGCCACCAAGCTTATATCAGTAAAGAGTTGGAATAGAATTTATCTGTGCCTGTTTGTCCATATTCAGAACCACAAGCCCCCAACGACCACACAAAATGCTTGGAATGCACGAAATGCACACCAAACTTGGAAGCAGGGGTGCAAGTGATTTAGATTGATTCTCTTAATCAACTTTCTCTTTGAAAAAAATTACTTCAAATTTGGTACGCCTACAATTCAAAAACGGAAAGAGTTGAGATAATAGATAATTGATCAATTAAAAGAACTAAATGCTCTTCACAAATGCATTCAAATACTTATCGCTTAACATTCTTAGTAGTGCACAAACACAAAAACCCTGAATTTATTCACCTATGGTGAAATTTGACCCTTTTTATTGATTTAAATTCTGCGAAAAATGGTCAAGTCCGTACTCAGAAACAGCAAGTAAGACCATTTTTTAATGATACAACACATGTGTGTAGAGTAAAATCGTTTGATGTGTCGCATGCTCGTCTACCATTGTACCTCGACTCGTTTACAATATAACAAAACATATGCTCTGAATCACAATATCTCCTATGATTAAAAAATAAATTGAAAGCCTCATGCAACAACCTCAGCTGGAATAATTTCAATGCATATGCAAATTTCATTGAATGCCGTTTATTGTACCCAATAAATTATTTGCACTACCAGCTATCCGCAGAACCGTACCTTTCCCGGGCAAGGAGGAAAACATATGGCGACGTCGGTGTCCATGTTAACACCAGTTCCCACAATGCAATTTTGTTGTGAAAACACGACGCCAAACAGAAAGGAAAATAACTGTCGTCAACTGAAAGGACACCTCATCCAATAGTGTCACTATTCCCAAGGGGTACAATATGACTGTACGCACAGTCAGTCACGGATTTTACGTTCGCCAAGATGGTCAACTGCAGCAATCCACTTGAAAAATTGAAAACTCATTGGAACGATCTTCGTCGAATGGTGCAGCCCTATCTCAACTACGATTACGACCGATGCCTGGATCTGATCATGGTTGGTGCCGGAATCCATCCGTTGGCTGGCGATGAACCTTGGAAGCGTAACTGCCTGTATGTATACCGACTGCTGGGGTTCTACCATTTCCTCATGGCTCTTGCCAAGCTCGGATTTAGTATCCAGAACCTAGATGATCCGGAAGGACTATTCTCGTCTGTCACGATTGTAGCGTCTATGGCAACAATCTACGCCAAAGCATTTACCCTCGGGCACTACGATAAAGCTGTTCGACAATCCAAGATTTTTGTCAACAGCAACTTTGGCCATTCGGGTGATCCCGGCTTTGACAAAACGGTTCAGCGGGACTCAACGAGGACCTCCGGAAAAGTAACGTTGATCATGTTTGTTCTCATTTGCTGTGATCAAGTGATAATTTCGATTCCAACCTCTGCTCGGAATCGTGTCTTTGGCATACCACCGCAATTTCACGTGCTTGGCACTTGGGCATTCAGTTTGCTGCAAGAGACGTTCGTTTTAATGTCATGCATATTTTGGGGCTGTGGATGTTTCTGCACTTCACTTACGGTCATACCTCTACTCATGGGACTGAGAAAAGAGCTGATGATTGTTGCTCGTGCTTATGAAACGATCGGAGAACAGGCACAAGCTCAAACAATGCACGTTCAAATCAATATGGTGGGAACATCCCGGAAACTGCTTCCCAGTAAGTTTAATTGGAAGCATTTGAAACAGATCTTGAGAGACACCGTGGTTCAACATGCTGAAGTGATGAGGTAGGTGATTCCACTGGTTCTCTCGGATTGATGATCATTGCATGCTTTTTTTTTGTTGTTTAAGAAACATTCATCTACTGCAACCCCTCGTAAGCTACGGCTACGCCACCGCCTACTACAGTGTCATGCTCGTCGCTTCGTTAGTTGTGTTTGTGGTGATTAGAAATGGGATATCATGGGTCTCTCTAATGCTTACTATGACTGGAACCGTTTGGCTGTTGGAGTGTTATTTGTGGTGTCGTACGATTGATTCGATTCAAGAAACCGTTAGTGCCCTTCAAAATTGCTCTGATCTTGCAAGTGGCCACACATTTTTCCTATATATTGCAGATAGAGATGATTGCTGGCTCTGTTGCTACGCTAGGTTGCGGACTGCAACATTCGATGGACAACCATTCCGAGTACATCGAGATGAGAACTTCACTCAAGATAGTCCAACTTAATGCGTCCCAACGCGAATGGTTCAGCTGTGGAGGAATCTTTCCCATCTCTGTGGAAATGTTCGGAGATCTGTCCATGATTATATATCGGTTCGCTACGTTTCTGCTCAATTTTAATTAAATTCGCTCGGGTGTTTAGACTGCACCAGCTATGGAGTGAATTCAATAATTGGAAAGTGGATTCCTAGGGTGCACCACATTAAAAAAAACAGTTTCCAATCATTGCAGAAAACCCCGCCTAGTTCGATTCGATTCATCATTTGGAAATATTTCTATGTGCAAATTTTATAAAGATAGACATAGTTTTGGGGGTCTCCCAAAAGGTTAAAATATTGTAACAATTCGTAGTAGACGCAGGTCCACCATAGTTTGACGCACTTTTGTACTACATCCACACTCTGACATGTATTTCACGAAATATCTCCCAATAAATCAACCACTAGTGTTTTATTAACACTCAACCTTTACATTCGTCAAGAAAAACTGTTTGTTGATAGCCTTTTTGAACGAAAGAAAAATCTGTCAAATGCGTTAAATTTCGTCTGTTTTAACAAAGAAGCCTAGGTTTTCGGGGTTAAAAATTAATACATAGTTCAAAAGAAAGAAGAATACACATTGAACGACGTCGTCTTGAGCCTTGACGAAGCATGAAAAATGCTCATGATGGGTTTGTGAGTTTATACATTTTCTCGAAGTCGGTCGCAATCAACGAAAGATTGGAACCACATCTTTCCTATCAATAAATGTCAATATTGGTCAATTTCATTAGTTTTTATTACTTCATTCGTGAAGTTAACGATTTGCAAAGTTGGAGATGCTTAACGTTAATATCAGACTTAAAGTGAACATTGCATACAATATTTAGATGAGGAGATGAAGGTATAGAATTGATAGTTCCGTTATAGTACGGCAGAAAGTAATAAGCGAGTAAAGGACCATTTTGAGTAAGGTACGAATCGAGTCGAGCATTCGCTTGACCAAACTCATCCGTTGATAAGGGGTGGGGAGGGGTATTATTTCTCGCAAACTGCACGAAACTGTAAAATAAAACAAGCATGTTAAACTTTAAGACGCCTAAAAATTCAAAAGACAATATCGTTTATTGGTGGAAATAGTGCCTAGGACTATTATCAAATACGTTCCGGGAGCCAGGGATATACTACAGCTGAAAAATCCCGTACATTTGTTTTCGATTTGGACGATATTGTTCAATAAGATTTGACTTATTGGTTCAGAATCATAGGAAAAATTTACAGGTTTTTTATCTCTGTTCGGAACATAAAACCACATGACCAGTAATTGGATCTATTGTAGTATATCGCGTGTCCTTAGTTTAGTGCATGTCGTATTACTCTATCACTATTGAACCGTATACTAGTTTTGATACAGTTGTCATTCTTGCCTTCATGACAAGGAATAGATTCTAATTGAAAGGTCCCGCTATTTATACCCTTCGAAGAGTGAGAGCACCCTCCAAATGCGCGCCTCTTTGTTAGTCAAAATTGGATATACCAATCAAATTTAGCAATGACACCGATTATGACCATGCATCAGAACCCTACTGTGTCTTATAACGAATATACGGTGTTTACGAGTACCCCGAATACAACGTATGACTCGTCTAATTTTTCATAGAACTAAAAATGTAAAATTAGACGAACTAAACGTTGGTCCTGCGACACCTAGTTTTTAGATCCACAATTACAAAAATGATGATGTACTAAAAAAAATTCATGCAATTTGACAGATATCAAACGTCATTACCATTTTCACCTATACGCCATCTGTGAGTCAATCGTCACTTTGATTCTTCAATTGTTTAATTCATGGGAAAATTCTGACAACGTAAACAGATAAATCAACTACCTGTATAAATTTGAATTAAGACATAACAATCTTCTCTTGATCAAGGCAACCTTTGAGTATAGTCATCATTTGTTATTGTGCATCCGTGGCTGGATGTTCATAATTGCCTGTGTTTTTATCAATATTAATATTCGTCTTCATCTTGATGCATAATATAAATGCAACTATATACAAAAACAAAATACGACAGGGCATCGTTTGCTGACTGTGCCGCGGGTATTGTGGGTTTCCCAGGTACCCGGTTCAAGCTTCAGTTGGCTGCGGTGGCTCTTCTGCTCCTTCTACCCCTGAATAGATAGTGCGTCTATGTTTTGCTGTGCCTGTTGTGGACATTAGTACATCCTTTTCCTTAAACTTGTTGAGGACGCCTTGTCTTGCCTCAAAAGTTATCCCTTTTAAAGTACTGATCTTTACGGAGCTTTAGATTTGATCAATTTATTCGCAGTTCTATTTGTCCAACGCTCCCTGCTGGGTGAGGGGTAGAGGATGACACACACACATTTTCCAAATTATCCTAGAGATACATTACAGGTTAATCGAAATGTTATTCGCTTTCGACTCAGAAATTTTGAGCATTTTGTGCTTCAAGGAGACTCATAACATAATTTAAAATTAATAATTGTGTTTATAAATAACGTTTTTGGATTATCAATATCATCCCGGATATCTGTTCTTGAAGTTCTGCAGGTATACGATGATTCGACTTAATGATAGGATGGGTAAATCTTCGAGAACCCCCATAATATCATTATTAGGATTGGATTATTAGGTTTTCCAAAACACCTGGAGTTCAGATCTTTTTTTTTTTTGTATAATCACTTTAACACTTTTGGATCATTCGTGTCATATCCCGGTTAGATTTGAACTCATGATTTTGGCGTGAGAGGTTTGAATTCCGATCTTTATGTTTTACAGATTAACCAAGGTATTTTACGGTGTCTTGACTAATCTTGTGTACCATAATTAAATATTTTTTTATTTATCTCTGGACCAAGCATCTCATGATTTATTTTCTATTGTTGATTGTGTCCGGTGTCGAACATTTGAATGCGGGCATTCAAGGAGTTTGACGTCGAACATTTTTTTGTTATTGGCATGAATCTGCTTCTCTATCTTCAAGTAGCTTCGTAACAGAATATGTATCGCTTAGGTTTTATGGTAGAACTACTTTACTCGGAAAACTGTAGCAAATGAATTCAAACACTTTTGTTCTAATGACACCAAAAGAGTTGCTAAAAATTTACTCTTTAAGCTGGTAGAAACAACGGGAAATTGCCGAGCGACTCGTGCGTGAACAGATTGCGCGTGAGAGAGAAGAATCGAGTTTTTTTTTGTAATTTTAAGGATTTTTAGATACTTTACCAAGACATAATATAAAAGCTGTAAACAGATGTGTAAACAAGAGAATATAATTATGTATATGATATAAAATTGATTGATTCCAAGTACCATTCCAAGTTTTATAAAGCTTTAAAGGATTCTTCGAGGCCAAATTATGGCCTACAAGACTATGATAAAACCAAAATTGTTACTCGCCTTGAGAATATATGATTTTTCCCGGTGCGATTTGGGGTTTCCTGCATTTTCCACGGTTTTTTCCCGGCAAATACGAATTCCCGGTTTTTTCCCGCATTTACCGGTTTTCCCGGTTGGATGGACACCCTGTTAGTAGTACAGGTCGGACTCGATTATCGGTAACTGACTTGTGTCACTTCTATTCATTAACACATTAACACATCATGTGACATATCAAATTACAAATAAATTCAAAATTAAGGAATATGTTGGACATGATCAATATCTTCAAAAAGATCGAGCATTCATCCAAAAAACCTTAGAAATAATTTCGATGGTGTTCCGAAAAGATACGATGGTTTTTACGGCAGAAAAGTCTATAATAGGATAAATGACGGCTTCGGCAATACCTTATTCTATTATCGTCAGGGGGGTAACAACATTCTTGAGAGCTCAATTTTGGCATGTGGATACAATGTGTTCCAAAGCATCTATTGGCCAAATTTGAGTGCTCTAGGACTTTGTTTACCCCTTGACGATAATAGAATAAGTTATTGCCGATAAATTTTTGTTTCATTTAAGTGACCTTACTTGAATTCAAGTTGAAAATGCGATAATTTTACACCCGCCGCTACCCTGCCATCCATTTTTTTAAATTTGTTAACCCTAACCACCGCCTAGGCTAAAACAGGTTCTACGCCGCCGCCGATGAAATGACCGGCGTACAGATCTAATTCGGCATCCTAAGTTTTGGTATTACTTTTTGATATTTTACCTCTTTTGTTATGCTAATTCATATCAACTTTAGATATAAATACTAAAGTGTCTACCCGCCACAGCTGAACAAGGAGATGTAACTACTCAGTTTTTTTTAACGTTCTCAGCTTCTGATTAATTCAGTTCCGACTTACCCACGTAATAATTCAAGCTGAACAGTAAGAACAGAAGGTGATTATTGATTGATTTAAGGTAAACAAAGCTAATTAACACCAGGCTGAATATAAAGTTGATTAGTAGTCCAAGAAACAATTCCAGCTGAACTGTAAGAACAGAAGCTGATTTTTGGTTGATTTAAGGTGTACAAAGCTGATCAACACCACGCTGAATATATAGTTGATTAGTAGTGCATAAAGCGAATTGTATCTTTATAATTCAACCTTATTATGTTAGCTGATCTAAAGATTAAACAAGACTTATTCAAGCTTAACACTACTCCACAAATCAGCAATGCGCTACAAATATTTTGATAACCTTATATAATATTAGTAATCTATTGCAAAATTTTGTACAATGTCGTCAGTTTCACTCGTTGGATTTCCGGCAGTTTAGTTCTTCTAAATACACTGCCTACCTTACTAATCCTAAGCAGCGCCAGCACAAGGAAAAAAAGTTTTTTAGAAATGGCTATTTGTATTCCTGTGTGAACATGAGAGGAATGTTTTACTGTCACCATTTGTTGTTTACATTTCTGCATTGCTGTATAATACTCTTCCGGTTTATATTATTCAACATTGAATAATGCGTCATGTTTGAATCTTTTTGCCATACATATGCTTAAGTGGCTCAGTAGGTGTGGTTGATGACTGTGAATCAGCAACTGCTGGTTCGAATCACAAAATTCAAAGGTAATTTTTAGAGTTATAATATCAATATAAATATGTAAATCCACTTAGTCAGCATCAAAATAAAGCAGTCTCATAAAAAATATTAGATATGAAGTGTTCTTCCATTCCATTTTTTGAAATAAAACTAGAAGGCTGAACAAGGGTTGGAAAATACTGTTATTTAAGGCCTTAAAAAGCTTATAATTTATGTTACTGTTAAGCTTTCAGCTGATAAAAATCACAAGATTTAGATGTTTAAAACCTGAACAAAGGTTAACGTGGACAATGTACAGCAATTATTAAAATTAATGCTGAATTGAAATCGATGAAACAACACTTGTTAAGCATCAAATTGTTACCTGAGCTAGCAATTAGCTAGCTGATCTAAAGACTGAACAATACTGATTTAAGCTTAACATTACTCCACAAATCAGAAATGCGCTACAAATATTTTGATAACCTGATAGAAGAATAGGAATCTATTATATAGGAATTTTGTATATTAATTCTTCTAAATTCACTGAATACCTTTCTAATACCAAGCAGCGCCAGCAGTAGAGACAAGGAAGAGGATCTTTTTAGCAATAGCTCCAGGTAGTAGTGGACTGCAACAATGTCGGGAGTATTAACATTGGTTTACCTGTGTTTTAACTGTTCATCACTTTATATTGCATTGAATTTTCAGACCGCATAGCAAAAATATAATTCAATTATGGCGCCAAAATTGGCTCCAAATAACCAACGAAATAAATCGCGCCCTTGTCACATTGTGAATACTGAACTTGACAATCAGAGAAATGTTTTACTGTCACCATTTGTTGTTTACAATTCTTCATTGCTGTATAATACTCTTCCGGGTGCTATTATTCAACCTAAATTTGACGTGCTTCAAGGTAATGATCACACCTTTTGCCACACGTATGATTAAGTGGTCTAGTAGTAGTATAAATATGTTAATCGATTAGTCAACAACAACAAGGTAAGCAGTCCCATAAAAATTATAAGATATGAAGTGGTCTTCAAATAATTTTTTTGAAATAAACCTAGAAGGCTGAACAAGGGTTGGAAAAGACTGTTATTCAATGCCTTAAAAAGCTTATAATTCATATTACTGTTAAGCTTTCGGCTGCTTAAAATAACCAAATTTAGATGATTAAATGCTGAACAAAGGTTAAGGTGGTATATGTACAACAATTATTCAAACTGAGGTTGAATTAAAATCATTGAAACAACACTTGTTAAACATCAAATTGATACACGGGATAGTTTCGTATTAACTTTCTATGATTAAAACGATTAAGACAAATGTAAACAAGACTGACACATACGACACGAATGTCACAGAAGTGATAAAGTGTCACTAATAAATAATAATAATAATAATAATAATAATAATAATAATAATAATAATAATAATAAATAATAATATGCCCTCATACGTCCATTCAACCACACCACTCTCACTATTGGATAACAATCTTCATTTTTACGAGCATCTAGCTTTGATCAAATGAGTTGGTTAGTTAACTACTTACTAATCCATAAGATTTGCATTCTGTAATGAGCAATACATTAGAAATAACATTAGTTAGCTTCCTCGTCATAGTTAATGGCGCTCTGTACCACGTAACGAGATGCATTTCACAGCAAACAGGTTTATAAACACCTATTCAATCAAATTATCATTTGAGAATATGTTACAGCCCAAACGACGCCCATCTCGAGCAGTGAGCATATTAAGTCGTTGACACCGTGTCGGTAGTAAACCTATTCAACGCTCTCCACTTTCTCGAAAAAATATAAAGCGTTGCGTCTTCAACTAATACTCAGTCGGACTAGTGCTACCTATGCAGAATGGACGATATTCGGGAGCTAGGGGTAGCCGAGTTCTATCGCAACTCTGTCATCCTCATCACTGGCGCCACAGGTTTCGCGGGGCAAGTTCTACTGGAAAAAATTCTACGAAGTCTTGAACCACGTAAGATCTACGTTCTGGTACGGAGCAAGCGAAACGCGAACGGACACCAACGGATGCATCGTCTGTTGGCGAGTGTTGTAAGTTCACACATCTGATAGCCTGGTGTTCAAAGTTCTAAACCGAACTGGTTGTCCTCCCCAGCTCTTCGACAAGGTTCGCAGTCATGATCTACCAAGCCGTGTGATACCATTGGAGGTTGACTTTGAACAAGAAAATCTCTCGATTGATGAATCCCTTCGAGAAACTCTTGCAAATGAGGTCAACGTAGTGTTCAATCTTTTGGCCAGTATTAACTTCAACGATCCCATTTCCAGTGCTCTGAAAACAAACGTTGAGTACCCCAGAAAACTCCTGCAGCTAGTGAACACCTTCCACCATCTGAAATCGATGATGCACGTGTCCACCTTCTACTCCAACTTTGACCAAAGTACAATTGAAGAGAAGATATACGAGGATACTCACTTCGGTGGATATGAAAACGTCCAGCGAATTCTAGCTCATCTGAATCAATCGGAAAAGGACGCTTTAACGCCACTAATTTTGGGTAAACTACCAAACACCTACACCTACACCAAGAAATGCACAGAATCAATGATCCAGGACAGCTTTAGCCATCTACCGATCGGAATCTTCCGACCTCCAATTAGTACTGTAGAACATCGAAACCTATCGAACAGCTAAGTAACACATTCCCGTACATTGCAGTAACTTCGACATACCGTGAACCGATTCAGGGATGGTACTACAAATATAACGGTCCCTGCGGATTGATGCTTGCCATCTACAATGGACTACTGAGGGTCATGCCGTTTGATTTCAGCAAGAAACCATTTCTAGCCCCCGTTGATTACTGTGCGAATGGAATACTCTGCTGCGCCGTGGACGTGTTCAAGAAGCACCGATCTACGGTCCAGGTGTACAACTTCACGGATGACACCCGGAACTGCAACTGGAAGGAGGTTTACTATGGATATGTAAATGGGATGAAGCCTTTCAGTGCATACGTCAAGTAAGATCCACACAAAACATTCTACCGAATTTTGAAAAAAAAACTGTAATGATTTCCACATTTCATAGTGGTCGATTTTTGACGATTACGAGCGATAATCATCTGCTGTGCTGCATTGCCCATGGGTGGATGCGGCTGCAGGCGGCTTTCGTGGATTGGATCTTCTGGGTCTTTTGGAAGAAGCAACGAGCAGCAACGGCTACGGTGGAGCGAATCATTTCTCTTTCAAATATAGTGAAACCATTTAGTGTCAACGATTGGGGAACGGAGAACTGCAACATGATCAAAGTGATCGGAGAACTTAACCCGCAGGATAGGGAACTATTTCCCTGTGACCTTAGAGATATAGACTGGAAGCCGTATCTGGAGGGCTTCATTCCAGGGGTTCTGAAGTACGTCGTAGGAAAGCAGCAAAACTCGAGGCACGCTGAATCCAGTGCTGATCGTTGATTCACTTGCTTTGATGGCTTTTACAATCTAAGTAATTTGGCTTATGCTAATGCTACATCTGCCTTGAATGCTGCGTAAAAGCAACTTTTGACATAATGTACTGCCGGGGTTTTATTAGGATATATTATGGTTAATCCATCGATCGACCAACAGCTAGACCAACAAGGCAGATCGAATTCACTTGCCTTGGAGCCTCTGGAGTACGTCATCGATGGATCTTACGGGCGATAGCGAGAGATTTTGTGACACGAACCGGAAACTGGGATCGGAGTATTTTATCAATAGAAAGAACATTGTAATAAGTGATCAGCAGATCAATTATTAATATTATTGCTGTAGTTTTACATCATGTGAATAAATTTCATGTAAGGTGGATGCTTCCATTATGGTTATACGCTCCTATATTGGTAAAGGAGATCAAAGCAACTCGGTGAAATTATAATAATCCTAATGCTATAAATCCGGAGTGATTTGAGATTTGGGCGTAATTGCTTTTGTAAACAAACGCGTCAATTACTGATTTCTCTTGAATAAAAGCTCAATCTCACAAACAAACTATACCAAATGATAGAGGAATCATTCCTCTACCTTATAGTGTTGTTACTTTTCGAGATTGAGCTTTTATTTGCGAGAAATCGGTGATTGACGTGTTTGTTTACAAATGCAATTACGCCCAAATCTCAAATCACTCCGAAAATGTCAGTACTGCATAAATAAAGGCTAGTTTAGTCTCATGTTTCAACCCAAACGGTCGTATTAACTCCCTCCTCTAAGAGGTTATGGGTCATTGCTAGAGAGGACGTTACCATCAGTGCTGATAAAAATCCTTTCTTCTACACTCAATTTAGCTGAAAATGAAGAAAACCATAACAGATAGACCAACTACCTGCATGAATTTGAATTTTGATTTAAACAAATTCCCTTGATCTAGGCAACCTCTGAGTATCAAAAATAACATTTCGACAGTGAGCATGCATAAGGGCCTATACGCGATGATCGATTATCTTCGTCGATTTTCTCTTTTGTTAATAACTCGCTAGATTTAACGTTTCTCGGTGCGTTTGCTGTTGCTTTTGATAGCCAATACAACCTTTTACTACTCTGCATTGAACAAATTCTAGAAAATTGTTTCGCTTAGCTGTAGCAATGCTATGAGAATCGATCATCGCGTATAGGCCCTTATGCATGCTCACTGTCGATTTGTTTTTCTTCATTTGTGGCTGGTTTCTCATTATCGCCTCTGTTGTTGTAAATATTGATATTCGTCTTCATCTTGGTCGGGATGATATTGAGGATCAAATGCAAAATGATTATTTTCATTTTAAACAAATATAGCGCTGAAGAACGTGGTTTTTATACATAAGTAGCCGGCAAATTATTGCCTCAAGCTGAACTGATGATAATATCTAGAGTCGGTGTATAATGAGTCACGCCAAGAGAAAAACAGTTGAACTCGCATCACGGTTTTCGAAAGATTCCCTTTCTTTTCACTTGGCAACAGAGGACTTCTGCATCAACTTCAAATGACTTCTAGCGAGGAAAAAAAGTAACGGCTGTAGTAAATCATTAAATTGGTGATTTTGTCAATTTATCTTAACGAAAAATAGTAGAAATTCTCACTAATGACCATTACAAAACGTATCGCATGACAAATGTAATGCTCACTGCGTGTTTATGATCATTTGTTCGATTATATTTTATGTTTAATTGCAATACCTTTCGTGGACCTTTCATAGCATCGTAATGCTTGTTTACTTTGCACGATAGGTAGCCGGTTTGACAGTTCAATAGGTAGACTTGGCTTCACTCTTGGCGTGACTCATTATACACCGACTCTAATAATATCGATGATTTAAGCAGTGTGGTCGACAATATTCAAAATAATCATTTTGCCCAAAATGTCGTTGATTATTTTGCTTTTGAGGATCACTTCTGATTTTCACAATTTTGGGTTTGATAATCGAGCACTGGTGAATATCAACAAACGCGTATTCGTTGATGTATAATAAACTCATTTGTTCATTTCGCTCGTTTCGTAACTACGAAGATGTTCAAAACAAACGCAATTCATCGACACTGGGTTGAAGCGATACTCCTTGCATGTGATGGTAAATGATAAAAACAGACACTGGTTACCATATCACCGGAAAAAAACCAGAAGGCGCGGGCGACGACCGGCCTCCTGCTGGAGGTTAACCAGCTGAACCTAATCAAGGACTGCAAAACGGCGAAAGTGACCTGGGAGAAGCTGCGGGACATTACGAGAAGGCAACACTGACGTCCAAAGTGTCGATTATCAATGAATGACGGAGAAGACATCGAGCAGCACATTTTTGAAATGGAGGGTCTGTTCGAGAGGCTGACGCTGACTGGAGAGGAACTGAGCAAGAGTCTACAGGTAGCTATGGTGCTCCGGAGTCTTCCGGAATCGTTCTCGACTCTGACCACGACGTTGGAAAGCAGGTTAGACGACGAGTTACCGCTGGATCTGATCAAATCCAAGGTGGTCGACGAGGTGGCAAAACGTTGCTCGAGCGGTGGACTGGACTCGGTGCTCAAGACCCACGTGAAGCGGAAGCAACTTTTGTGTCATTTTTGCCAACAACCGGGGCACAAGCAGAAGGATTGTCCATCTCTGGCCGAGAAGTGGACAAGCGAACGGAAATCATCAGATGGCCAGCTTGATAAGCGAAACCAACCACGGGTGCGAGCAGCTCGCGAAGAAACTCCGAAGAAGGAGTATTCGTTCGCGACGAGAGGAACTGCAACGGTATCGAAGAGTGAGCCATCAATAGTAACCCTCAAGGAGGTGCTATTGGTACCGAATTTCGAATCGAGCTTGGTTTCCGTGAAGAAGCTGACGGGCAAACGGGACTATGGTCATTTTCGACGTCAACGGATGTCGAATCTTGAAGGACAAGAAGGTGATTGCGGCAGCAACGATTTCTGGGGGACTGTACTCCCTGACGGTACCCCAGGAAGCACTAGCCGTGAAGCACCATACGTCAAACTGTCAGCACACTTGGCACCGTGTGTTGGGGCATCGTGACCATGAAGCCGTCAGTGAGCTGGGTATGGCAACTGGAATCGAGATGGAAGAGTACGGCTGCCGAGTCGTCTGTGAATGCTGTCTTGAGGGCAAGCTGACATGTTTTCCGTTCCCCAAAAAGTCGAAGCCAAAATCCAAGCAACCATTGGACCATATTCACACCGATGTGTGTGGACCCATGCGAACCGTGACACCCGGTGGGTGTCGTTATTTTCTCACCATGATTGACGACTTCACCCGGTTTACCGTCGTATATTTCCTGAAGCAGAAGTCCGAGGTTTCCCAGCGTATTCAAGAGTACGTCAAGTTCGCCCAGACGGAATTTGGAAAAACCCCGAAGATCATCCGTTCCGACCAGGGATACGTTGCTGAGCGCAGGGGATACGTCAGCAATTTACCACCGCCTACACTCCGCAGCAGAACGGGGTTGCAGAGCGGAAGAACCGCTCACTGGTGGAAATGGCGCGCTGCATGCTACTGGACTCCCGAATGCCGTTGAAATACTGGGCGGAAGCGGTTAACACTGCGAACTATCCACAAAACCGTTTGCCGACGAAGCCGTTGAAGAAAACGCCGTACGAGCTGTAGTATGGCACGAAGCCGGACATGAGCCACCTCCAGATGTTCAGTTCACCGGCGTACGTGTGGATCCCTGGAGAGAAGAGAAGCAAATTAGAAGCGAAATCTCGGAAGTTGCTGCTCGTTGGTTATTCCTTCCAATACAAGGCGTACCGATTCATGGACCCGAACAATGACAAGCTGACCGTCAGTCGGGACTGCAGGTTCCTGCCATTGGACGAGGTTCGGAATGCCGAACCTCAGAAGGGAAGTATCGTTGATTATCCATTTAGACTCCTAGAGCAACCGAAAGCTGAGGTCCCCGTTATTCCAGCAAACTTGGACGAGAGAGAGGACGAATCGGATGAGTTCGATCTACTCGGGTTCGACGAAGACGACAGCGTAGACGTATCGGATGAGTCCGATCTACTCGGGTTTGAGACTAGCTACGACGATACCAATGAGGAGACGTTTGTGGAAACAGAAGCGCAGGGAGAACTTGAGACATCCGACTATCAGGAGGAGCAAGACGTCGTCGGCGAAGTTGATGTACCAGTAGTCTGACGATCGGAGCGTACCACAAAGGGCATCCCGCCAGAACGGTACCAAGACACCGTGCGCATAGCAGCGCAATATGTCGACGAGCCACGCACATTCGAAGAAGCAATGGCAAGGCCCCGAGCGCAACATGTGGGAGGCAGCCATGGAGGAAGAGATGAAGGCGCATGTCGTCCGTTTGCCGCCAAACAAGAAAGCAGCAAATGGGTATTCACGAAGAAGATGAACGAGGGCGGAAACCTGATCCGCTATAAGGCCAGTCTGGTAGCGCAAGGATTCAATCAAAAATACGGAACCGACTACCATGAGGTCTTTGCGCCAGTCGCCAAGCAAACCACTTTTCGGACCCTGCTGAGTGTCGCCGCCAGACGAGAAATGCTGGTGAAGCACGGCGACGGGAAGACGGCGTACCTACACGGAGAGCTGGAGGAGACCATTTTCATGAAGCAGCTGGTTGGATACCATAACGGGGTCAAGGACAACGTACTGCATCTACGAAAAAGTCGCTACGGTCGGAAGCAGGCTGGAAGGGTGTGGAATGAAAAAATCACCGAAGTCTTGAAGCAGCTGGGCTACGTGAAGAATCTGAAGCAGACCCATGCCTGTTCGTAAAAACCTGGAAGAAGAAGAAGACGTTCATATTACTATATGTGGACGACATGCTGATTGTCACTAACACAGAAGTGGAATACAAAGCCGTCCGGAAGCATTTAGCGGAGCACTTTACCATTATGTGCCTTGGAGACGTGCGACACTATTTGGGAATCCGAGGAATCCAACAAACCTTCATCCGGAAGGTAGCCGAACGGTTCGGACAACCAAAAGCGAAGCGCTC